CTCCTCAACGCTCTGTGAGCTTCGTGAGGTGTCCTCGTGCGATTCATCCATTTCAGGAGCGGCATTACTTAAGTCGCCCATCCCGATGTTTTCGCTGAAATTTGTGGAAAAATAAAAATCATGGACTTCCACCTACCTTAAACTTGGAATTTTTGTAGAAAGGATTCCAAAGGAGCGCAGGATTGCGGATATTTTCCTTGGATTACGAAGCAGAAAAAAGAGGTTTGAAGATCTAAACCAGCAAGCGAGCACTGACCAGCAGCATGCGCGCGCATCTCATGTGACTCCGTAGTGACGTAGACTGATGACAGGATAGAATTATCTGGTAATGAACATGTTTAATTGCGGCTGTTTTCCCAGTTGCTTTTGTGGGTATATCAGTGGGTCAAACCTTCCCAAGGGTGAATAAAGACTTGTATACTATGTCGAAAACAAAAATGATTTTTTTCCTTTCCTTAAAAAGAGATAGTCACTGATTAGTTTCCCAAAATATGGATCAAAATATGATCATTAACTTGCCAAACATTTTGAATCTGTGGCGTTTAATGTATTTTATGTAAAAGAACATGAAATGCAGATAGAGGCGTAGGGTTAGGCTCTACTAAAACTTCAGCTCAAGGTACATAAAAATCTATCATAAATTTTGTAGAATTTTTGAGTTTGTTAAGTATAGCCAGGCGAAGCCTGAACAAAGTAATGTTTTAAGAATTGGGAGGGTTGACTTTTAACTGAAAAAAAGTTGCAATTATTGATTTGGTGAGATTGCTGTCTTACCTTATGGTCACGACCAGGCTAAGCCTGTGTGAAATAGTGTTTGTTTTTTTTAGCAATTATTAGAATTATAAAAGGTACAATGAAGTGAGTTATACAAAGTAGTTCGAGATTTTAGTAGTTTTGATTTCCCTTGCATTGTGACCAATTCAGAAAACGCGCGGCACTCTCTCGACCAATCACATGCGAGACTCAAGACAGACATGTACGATTTTGACTCACCAGCTTATTTTCCCATCTTTGGGATAGTTAGCGTGCTTTAACTTTGAGTTTTCGTTCACTCCAAAGTAATATTTTTCTTTATTTTGATTAACATCCCTGATTACTGTCAATCAAGTTTTCTTTATTGTTGAGAGATATTGTTTAATTTTTAAGATTGATTACTTCTAATTAGGCCAATCCTGGCATTGTGAAATGGTGTTTGACACACTTACTAGCATGTTAGGAATTAGGAAAGTTTAAAAGGAGGAAATAAAGTGGCATAAGCATTGTTATATGTAGTTTTTTCAGATTTTTTAAAATATAACTAGGTTAACAAGATAATTTAGTTGTATTAAATGAGTTGCCGAGTAATGTAAACTGGCCTTCGTAAAGCGTTTAAAAGTTCACGTTTGAAGCGTAAACACTTCGTTAGAGCGGGCTAACGCTCGAAACGTCTGCTTTTAAACTCTTTCCGAGGAATAATTTGCATTATTATCTTAGTTGTGAAAACCAAACAATCTTGTTATACTCCCGCACCGAGGCAACACTACAGTTTCTTTAGAAAGTCGCCTCATATAGTATAACTGGGTCAGTAAGCCTGAACGAAATAATATTTTAAACATGCAGTTATTAGAATTAGATACGCTGTGTAACAAACGAAAAGCTTGGGTATGGATGATATGATGAAGTTTTTTTTTTTTTTTTCACTTTTGTAGAGTGAAACCAGTAGTGTTTCGTACAATGATTTTGTATAATGGTAGCAAATATGACGACTTTCAAATAATTTGTAAGTTAGTATTAGATTCATTATCCACCAGTTAATGTCAAGTTTATATGACACTTGTTTTTCATCTGCAAATTTATTTTGATTATAACTAATTCTTTGAGTGGTGAACAAAAATAAAGAAAAAATAAAAAGTTCGCTGTCTTGTTTACGGAGATTAAAAGTATAACCGTGATTTTCATATTATGTACTCAGGAAACTATGCTGTTGAATTTTGAACAGATAGATTGATAAAGCCGCGACTATTACTCACTCGTTCGCTGCAGTCACTCTTTGGTTTTCCTAAGTTTTAGCAAGTCGTAAATAAAATATGTACATCGCGATAAATCTACTCTACCGGTAATTAGATTCCCAAACCACATTACATTAAAATAAATCTAGTCAGCATTATTGACCAAAATAAAACCAAGGTACTAGTAATTCTCAGAGTAAATGTGATCAACAGTATTTGCAACAAGTATTCGAAAGTGTAAAATACAGATATCCTCTACAAAATCCTTAAATCATCGAAAGCTCGCACAGATACTTCTTAATCGTACCATCTTCTGGCTGCAGAATACCTAAACAAGTAAAGCTCACTTGGTGTTCTTATCACTCTGGGTATCTCAACTGGTATGAGTGGCGGAGATCTTTCACAAAAAACCTAATCATGTCCCTCAGATATCTAGGCAGATTAAAACCACGAATAACTGTAAAAGTGAGAGGCATGGGATCAAGCGAAAAAAGGAGGTTTTACAATTAGGGAAAAAGCCCTTTCCTATAATTCTTTAATGGTGATAATCAAGAAATATTAGGGCCCAGAGAGTTTTCCAAAGGAATCCCGTTGTAAAGGAATATCAATTAGGGAAAAACCTCTGTCCCATAACCCTTTGAAAGTGATAATCACGAAATATTAAGGCTGGGAGAGATTTCGACAAGGAAGTCCATTGTAAAGGAATATCAATTAGGGAGAACTCTTGTCTAATAACCCATTGGGAGTGATAATCACGAGATATCAAGGTGGAGAGAGATCTCGACATGGAAATCCATCGTAAAGGAATATCAATAAGGGAGAAACCCCTATTCCATAACCCTTTGAGAGAGATAATCACGAAATATCAAGGCGGAGAGAGATCTCGACATGGAAATCCATTGTAAAGGAATATCAATAAGGAAGAAACCCCTATCCCATAACCCTTTGAAAGTGATAAGCATGAAATATCAAGGCTGAGAGAGATTTCGACATGGAAGTCCATTGTAAAGGAATATCAATTAGGGAGAAATCCATGTTCCATAACCTTGAGAGAGTGATAATCACGAAATATCAAGGCGGAGAGAGATCTCGACATGGAAATCCATTGTAAAGGAATATCAATAAGAGAGAAACCCCTATCCCATAACCCTTTGAAAGTGATAACCATGAAATATCAAGGCAGAGAGAGATCTCGACATGGAAGTCCATTGTAGTAGAATATCAATAAGGGAGAAACCCCTATCCCATAACCCTTTGAGAGTGATAATCACAAAATATTAGGAGAGAGATTTTGACAAGGAAGTCCATTGTAATGGAGAATCAATTAAGGAAAAACCTCTATCCTATAATTCTTTGAAGGTGTTAATTACGAGGTATTCTTGGTTTTCACGTGACGTCATTAAAATCAAAAGTAAGGAACTTTAATCTTTATGAGATTTTAGTTTAGTTAGTTAATACAACAGTTGAAGACTTATCTTTTGACAAATTTTCAGTTTGATCGGGTCTTTCATCTTGTGAGCAAGGTTGAATTGCTGAGCTCTTGTCACGTAGGTTAAAAAAGTGACTATCTGGCTGAGATTTTGCAATCTGAACAGTCCTTTATGAGAATTAGTGCTCATAGAGATACCTATGAGCCCTCAGAAGACGAATATAGGCTTTTTATAGCAAAACGCGATGACATATATTTTTGTTAGCTTCGCGCTTCCTTACAAATTCATATGAAAAATTTCTTCGAATATCGTCTGAGGAAAAACCCGGATAACCCCTTTCTCCCATAACTCTTTATAGGTGGTTGTCACGAAGTTCTCTAAGAAAGTTCTCCAAATAGAAGCCCGTCAAGCGAAAAAATTCCTATCCTATGATGTTTTGAAGGTAGTAAGCACGAAGTACCAGGGCGGAGAGAGAAAAGTAGCTCGCTGGGAGGAATATCAATCAGAGAAAAACACCTATCCTATAACTCTTCGAAGGTGGCACTCACGAAGACTTGGGGTGGAGAGAGGTAAGGCCCTTATATATATATATAGATTGTGCTGGTAAAAGTAGCATCTTATGCTTCTAGCATATTGCCCGATTTTTTTCTAAATTATGCTTAAAATCATGCTCGTTTTTGTGAATTTTACTGCTTTTTCAAGCTTTTCAAAAAAGAGAGACAAAACAGGTCTAAATGATATAATACTATCAATAAAGCATGATGTATTCTTTGATAGAAACATTTGTCCAGATAAAACACAAGTAATAACTGCACTTTATTTCAGACTAGGAGCGGTGACTCAATGTGTCGAAATAGGTACGATGTTGCTATCACATTTAATTTGTTCTGGCGTTTAGTTTCAATTGGCACCAACCAAATCTTTACTTCCGGTAATCTAGACGACGAACTACGCAGTATTTCGGTAAGGCATTGCAAAGTTATAACTAAACTGAGCCATCGAAAACTTCATCAAAATAACTGGCAGAGATCAAGCAATGCATTACCGTGGTGCCAATTAAGGGAAAAACCCCTATCCCAGAATGCTTAGAAAGTGTTATTGTGGCTTTATAACACTATTGCGTCACGTGATCAATTTAAACCAATAAGAATGGGAGAAAATTTAGTGGTGAACTGTAGCGTCACATTTATGGCTTGTAGTTCCATATTTGGAGTGCATAGTTCTGTGTCTCTTACATGACCCCAAGTGACGATCTGACCGAGATAAGTTTTTATTTTTAATTATAAGTTAGGATTACTGAATCTCTACCTCCTGGATCCTTTATTTCTTTCCAAAAGCCGATCTTAGGGCTCATGATTTAATTATTTCCTACTCTTATCGTATACCATCAGTTTTCTTCGAGACCTGCATAATGGGAATCACATAAAGCGGTAAGTTGCTTACCTCATGATCAAGAGTTCTGTATTTTCTCCATGGTTCAAAACTATGGACGTAGTTGCTTCACAAGAAACTATACTTTTAGCTCGCTGGTGGTGTAATTCAGGCACATGATATGGAAGTAACAACTTTCAGTCGTTATTTCTTTGGAAGATCATCTTCATGCGTTCGTATTAAGTTCATGTGTCTTTTCTTTGACATAACTGATTATTCAGGAGTAATTGTAGTTAAAGAGCTCATTAGGTTTTCAAGGGAAATTATTTCTGATATTTACCCGATGCTTTTTGTTCATTTTTGGTATTCCTGTTTACTCATGTTACTCCTTGCTCCTGTTTTACAGGGTACGCACCAGTGGGGCCTTCGCATTTTCGAGAGGACTTTGACCCCATCCTTAGTTGTTACAATCTCAATGGACCTACTTTCTGTATTAAAGACTGAACAGCAGTAAGAATGCCAGGTTACCCTGTACTAGAGTTAGACAAAATGATATTTCAAGAACTTATCTGTGAATACTGTGACACAGTGGTAAGAGATGCATTGAGGGCAAACTGTGGGCACTTCTACTGCAGGTCATGTGTGGATTATCTTTTCAGGTAGGCATCCCTACCGCACTAGTCAATGTAACTGCCCCACACTACCAGGGCCAGGACATGGCAGGGTATTTGCAGGTAATATTTCCATTACTTGACAGGTGAAAGGGGACTTTGATGGCTTTTGCATGCCATCCAGGATTATTGAGGAAATGCAGGTGACGGGGACGGGAATTGAAAAGATGGTGGCTTATTTCTGTAAATGTTAACTTCAGACCTAAACACTACAAATCATTTATCACTTGACATGCATTGTTTGAGGTGACTTGTGGTCCTTAACGAAGATGATTGTAGTAACACTGTGGATGGGTGTTATCAATTTCAATCCACTGACATTTTCTGGTGTTTATGGTGTATGTGTGTTTGCTTGTCCATGTTGTGTCACTTAGCGAAGTTTCTTAACCCATTGTAACTGGACACCTCCCTTGATATTTCAATTGTCCCCAGGAATTTCCCAACCTAGGATTGTTTCAAGAGCATTGAAAAAAATAAACATAGTATTACTGCCACGGGCGGCGAACACTAACGAGCACAATTTTAACGCGGCGAAACGACACGACAGGACACGAAACAACACGGTTAAAACTGCAAATAAAACAGGAAATGAAAACCTATCATAATATAAACTACACTAAATACCCAAGGAAAGCTAAAAAGAAAACGACGACGAAAACTACATAATACAAACTTACATTTGTTGCGATGTTGTGAACCCTGCCTAGTTGCGAACAAGCTGCGTGAAGCGAAAAGAATGAATATACAAACTACACTTGACAAACTGCACTGAAAAAACTGCACCAACGATAAACAATACAGTTTAAATACATGCTACATAACGTAGTGACACAAAGAAAGTGCGTGCAAAACTTTACAACAATTAACACTACTGCACAAGAAAGAATAGACAAAAATAATACGTAGCGATCTACACATAGTAAGATTGGGTATTGAGGTTGTCTTTAATGGAAAGGGAAATAATTGTCGAGAATAAGCCAAAAGATTTGAGAAAAGTGCGGCAAGGCCTTCTTTAAATCATGGAGAAAGTAAAAAATTAAAAATATCTCTTCACCATGTGATGAGTGGAAAATAAGATTTTTCAATGTGTTGCCAATACAAGATGCTGAGAATGGATGATAGTTTACTCAGATTTAAAAAAAATCGTTATAATTGGTCATCAAAAACTGTTCATTACAAGTTTCTTTCAGGATGTAACATCTGAAAGCTGTCAAAAACTAGAGAAGGGAAAAAAAATAGGCATACTAAATAAATAAATTGCAAACAGCAAGGTAAACACAGTGGGGCACACCAACACATACTGAAACAGACAAAGTGATCGGTTGTCAAGAGTTATCAAGTTAAAAAGCGTGACAAATAAACTTTGTAAATACTTCAGGCAATTGTTATGCTAATAGGGAACTTAAGCAAACCACGATGGCGATGGCAACGAGACCGTGGAAAAACAATAGATCTAGTTGGCAGAACAATAGCCCAGCACGTACGTTTTAAAACTTTGTACATTTCTTAGCCGTCGTTCGCGAAACAACAGCGTGAAATCACCAAAATTTGTGTCGTCTGCGAACCAAAGCCGTGGCGGCAAATTGTTTTAATTTACATTTGGAACTCAATGCTACTTTTATGCCTTATGTTGAGTTTGAGGTCTGGCGCCCTATGAGACGGTAAACACATGCAGCCGTTTTCGAAATTCTAATTAAAAGTAGAAACTCATTTTTCCTCCGTGGCATTGCCGTCGTGACTGCTTAAGTTCCCTAATGTCTTGGATTACTTGGGTCAGGTCTTTGTATATGATCCGTGTATAAGTCAAGGGTGATTTTATGGGCTGATTTTTTTGGTAATAAAAGGTCAACTTATACACGGATAAATACAGTAATTTGTCAATGAACACCAAACCAATTGAGTAGCCAGAACAGAAACAAGTTCTAAACTCACTGTGATGCGAAAATTAAGTACATTGCCACAATAAACATGAAAACTATGGAATGATGGTGGCAGAATCAGAATCAGTCAAACAGCCAATTGAAGATAAAAAAGCCCAAAACAAGAACCAAATAATTACCTACTTATCCTTATCCTCTCTGTGTTTGTCTGTTTTCTCTTTTTATCACACACTTTTCCTCTGGAAGATGACTCAGGGTATGAGGAAAAGTTCAAGCATGATTCAACTTTTATAGAAATGGTGAAAGCAAGTCTTATAAAGGGCTATGCTACAGGTATTAATTTTTGGTAAACACTGAAATGAGGTCTCTACTGATCAACCTGGCACTGTCTTGGTACCCAACTAACTGCAGTGAAGGCAGACCTTCTTTCTACCCTCAATTTTAACATTAAATGAGATCCTATGTTCCCTAGCTCCACTGACAAATTTTCAATCTTACACCATTTAGTGGGATGAGCACGGAAACTGTTCAGGAATACCCCTGATCAATTGCTTAGCAAGATTCATTATTAAATTTACCTGTTTTACTTTACCTTGCCCATGTTCTAGCCAATGATGATTATACAGAATAAAAGAATTGCATATTGAAATATCAAATAAATACCAAAAACAAATACATTTATTGACCTACATGATTGCATAAAGTAAAATTTATGCAATTTCAGGGCTCAAAATTGCACCACAATTTTTCAGAAACTATGTTGTGCAATGCTCATGAAATTTGGGTTGGTTACTTTTGCAACCAAAATTTTCAAACTTGCGACTAAATTTTAAGGAATTACTCGCAAATTGTGATCAAGAATTTTTTTTGATTTCGAGCCCTGAATTGATCTGCAAGATCAACACCTCCTTTTGCTGTTTGTAGAGATCAACCACTACTGGCTTGGAAACCTGCTGATTATGCCCATTTACCACTAAATCTACAGCTGAAAGACTAAAATGAGAGGAAATTGTGCTAACATCATTTTTGTTATTCCACTTAGTAAAAACTACATTACCCTTTGGGTGAACTAGTTTCACAACTTATCTATAGCACAAAGAAGCAAGTCCATCAATTGGATCTTAAGTTGGCACAACACCCAGTATCATTACCTGCTAAATGTTCTAACTGAGGAGAAAAAGTTCTTTTAAAAAATGCTGGGTAAGGTCTAATCATACTAGTCACCATGTCTTACTCTAAGCTGTACATTATCGGCTTCTGATTTGGCTCTTAACCTTAGTGAACATCAAAATTCAGTGCATAGCCTTTACTAGAATTGGGGACCACATTAACTTTAATACCTCATTATCTGTGTCTTTGTCTTCAGCCTCTAAACCAGATCTAAATCCAACATGTGGTTGCAATTCAAACCTTCTGTTTCCAGTTCATTGAACCCATCAAAGCTTCCTTCATCCCCTGAGCCTTCTTAAAGTACAGCGACTTTGGGATCAAATTAAATCTTGTCAGCCACCATCAAAGGAACATGTTTCAATGTGAAAATTTCAGAAAACCTCACCTTGTGGCACCACCAATTAGCTGTCAAATCTGTGCAAAGGAGGTCAAGTGATTGGTTTGTTATCCTCCCAAGTCACTATGGAAACAAGAGAGAGGGGTGAGATTGAAATATGGGGGCCATTTTTTTAACAGCTGTTACAGGGGAAGTTACAGGTGTCTATGGGTGACTGTGCCAAAGTTCCATGAAATAAATAAAGGTGAAGCATTTACATTAGCCTGTGTCTACCACCTTGTTTTTAGGGATTGGGAGATTTGAGTGGGGTTATTTGCTTCAATTAGATGAAAAAGCTGGCCTTGGGGTGCAGGGCATTCAACAGTTTAGCCTCAAGCAGCAGTCTAGTGGCCACTATGTCCTGGCCTGGGGGTGTAGGAGTTAACATTGACTGGTGCATGACACTTCATATGCACCTGTACATGTATTTGGTCTAAATATGAGCAACATGTGCTGTATTGATACTGAATGTGGATTATGATTGCACAGACAAACATTTTGTGGATTGTTGGACAGTATATCAATGCAATATCCTATGCTTTGCTTGCTGAAGAACAAATTCAACTTTGAAAATTTCTAACGTTTGCAAAAAAATACTGAACAGTCTATTTTCACACCTCATAAGCTTTTTCAAAATGTATAATTTAAATTGGAGCAATAATTACCAGAAAGTCTAACTTGGGTACACTGTATTTCTCTTTGGTTGTCTGAGTACCACATCTTGTGATAATTAAGGCGTGAATTTTAAAAATTGATTACCAGCAAATTTTTTTTTCTCCCAGTTACCATTGACCTTTTTTTATGGTTAAGCTTAGAGCCTTGTCTCATGAAAATTTGTGGGTGTTGAATGGTTTAGGATGACAATAGTTTCTTCTTGGAGCTTATTCTTGTGATTTTCTTTTCAGGGAACTGAAGGAAATGTAAAATTTTTCAGCTTTTGTTATTTCCTTAGTTTAAAACTGTTAAATTCCTTGATGCCTGTTGCCTCTCAGAACCTTACTGGTCTAATAATTTGATACAACAAGTAGAACACAATCATCATTTTATTTTGGGCATTTTCTTGCTGCACAGTGTTTTATTTCAAATCTAGTGCTAATAAATTATGCTTTTTTTTTTTCGACAACAACTAGGGGAAATCCAGGAGCAGTGGCTTACTGCAAAAAGAGCAGAACACCTCTCTTCTATTTTCAGGTAATATTCATAGTCAGCACTGGTGTTTTATTTAAGAGTTTCACCCAGTTATAGGATTAAGCATTTTAGAAATGCCTACAGTTGATAATTTTTATTCACAAAATACTTTAATTTACTTCTAGTTTCTTAATATTGCTAAGTGAGCATGAGGGCTTTACTGGGGAATTTTGGCTTGCGGTTTTTGTGTGGACTGAGGGCAGCAAGGTATGTACACAAGTGACCAAGGGCCATTCTTCCTCAGTACTGCTTGAGTAAGCCAGATTGGTGAATTTTTGCCCATTTTAGCCAAAAAATACACAGATCCTGTTTTTGTTTGCCATGTGCAGCTACTGAAAATTAGTTGATACAAATTTTATAATTATAGAAGTTAGTTTCCCATAGCACCTTTTTGATATCCAGTTTTTTTATGATGATCACCAAATCCCTACTGTGAATCCATTGTGACCTTTGATCTTTGGATATTTTGAGTTGAATATCAATCACTATAACACATCAAAGTGATGAAGTAGATCCTATCATTGAAATCATAATTTTGAACTTTTGATTGTGATCGTGCAATAATTGTAGCATTATTGCACAAGAGTTATACATTACAGTATTCATTAAGGGGGTCAGATAATAATTTATTGTTATACCAAGATTTCAATCTCGCTATTTAGAATGTCCAGTAACTTATAGAGGGGCTGTTCTTTGGAATACAATTATGTCTAGAAATGCAGACATTGTTCATGCTACACTAAAGAGCATAGATTCAAGATTAAGTAAGATGGTTGAATTTAAAGATTTTCATTTTAAGGTAACATCTGCCTCAAAAGTTAATTTTTGTGATCAAGGCTATTTTTATTTTTAATGATATCTTATGCAGATTATATCACATATATTGTACAAATTTTTATAAGTATTAACTATTAGTAATCTTATTTTTGTTTTGTATGTAAGTTAGTAATAGATATTAGTTTTAGGACTAGTTTAAATGCACAACCCCATAAGCACGAAGCTTTAAACACTTATCGTGTTGAAATAAAGTTGATGTTATGTTATGTTATGTTAATATCTCTGCTGTTTGGTATTTGGTCTCCAAACCATTCTTTTTGCACAAAAAGTGTACATGTACCTGCTTGCAGTGGTACACTTATTTGTTGGAATGTTTATTAAACCAGATAAAGTCTCTGAGCAAAGTAACCTTGGAAATTAATTCCCACCCTCTTAAAAACGAGTAAGGTTTTTAAGGGAATCATCATTCTTAGACTAATTAGTTCAAATTTTGTCAAATGAGTCATTACACTATGCATTTTTCGCACAGGATAAGCTGTCATCCCTCAATGATTGGTCCTTCATAATCAATAATCACTCTGCCAATTTGCATATCAAACTGCTTTATCACTCATTCCTAGATGTAAACATTTCTGCACTTAAAAATTATTATAATATGTCAAATAAAGATTTACAAAGATGACTTTATAAAGTTTTGTAAAGAAAGAAATGAAATGATTGTCATATATGAGACACGAGTGACTTCTTGAGCTGATGTAACTGTGTTATTAAATTTTTACTAACTGATCATGGTACCTTTTAGCAAAAGCCAGTCAATGATCAAATATAATGTACATGTACATGTATGCTATTTTGGTTTTCATTTTCCTTTAATTACAGTGATATTGCTTGGGATTACTTGGGAGTTGCAAAGTGCCTGTGTGTTTTGTGATCTGTGATGGTTCCTGATTCCACTCCCTTTTTGTTAAGTTCTCACCAGATGAAGGAATTAGCAGTAAAGTTGAGAGTACCACAGTTCACTGTTTATTCTTGGAGGCAGGATGTACATGGGAAGGAAAGTTGAAGGAATCTGAGGTAAAGGGAACCAAAGGGCTTACATTAAGTTACCACTACATTGCGTAAATTAAGTTCTCACCCTATGTTATGTGATAATTTGTTTTTTCATACACATACAAGTTTAGAGGGAATGAATATGAGTGGAAATTTCTTAATTTTTGCTTCCTTTGTTTCTGCTAGAGGCACTAGTCCAATGTTTTTTTAAATCAATCCCATAACTGCTTAACTTTAAAACTTAGTAGGGTGTTGCATATATGTAGGGATTACACATTTCTATTTCCCTTTGAGGTCACTTTGACTCCTTGTCCAAAAATTTTAGAGTCAGTTTTGAAAATGCAAGCATGTGCAGTGGAGGCATTCTATACCACTATTGTATGAGTTACATAATTGGAGAAGAACTGCCAATCAAAAACATTCACAATTAAAAATGGCAGCTTATTAATGTGCTTTGTATCGAACACAAACAAGCTATGGACAAAGTTTGTTTCACAAAGTGATGTTGTTTTTGCAGAATGTTTTTGCTAGGCAGAAAATAAAATTCTGCTGAACATTTCTGAATTCTTCTCTGGAGTTGGAGTGACTCCCTGTTGGAATTTTTTGGAGTCCAATGAATTTTTGGTGTAAAATATGCCAAATTTGGCGTATTTGTAATCCTTGCATATAAACTTATATTAATAAATTTATATTTACATACATGTAGTGATATAAATTCAAATTGGACCTAGTAATAGTGGACAGGAAGAGACATCTTCAGACTGTCCACTACTAAATCATTACTAACAGTATTGTTATTATTATTATTATAATTATATGAGGTATTGATACTCTTCAGGTACATACAAATTAAAAATTCAAAAGCTAAAAGTCCTTAAAATTTAACTGATAGATGTATAGAGTTGATAAAAATAAGGTTATGTTATAGAACACAAAAGGAGCCATTACATAAGAAATGAACGGAAACCTGGAAGGAAAGTCAAATTGCACCACTTATTCGTGAATGCCAAGGTGTTCTGTATTTACTTTATTAGCTGTTACAGCAGATAGGGTTCTTGTATCTGAACTCCTGCCTTCTTTTGAGGCCATGAGGGTTGAGAGAAAGTAATTGGACAGTTCTTATATGTCCCCCTCCCCCTTATAACTCCCACTTAAGGTTGTTCTACGGCATGTGAAAAGGCAGGGTACATGTATGTTATAAGAACAAGCATTAATCACCCCGCAGAAAAGAAGTAGTTTCCCTTTCCATATGTCATCCAAAGTCACTCTGCTTCACCCTGCGAAGGGTTTAGTTATCTGTGTTTAAAAGCAATGGTTTTGGTTAAAAGTGGCAACACAACCTTCTGAAGCTGTTTCATGTTTCTTTTAAAACAGCTCACAGTTGTTTACCTTCACTCAGATGTTGAAAAACTTCGAAAACGTTTTTAAAAAAAGTCAAAGGAAGTTGTGACGTTTACACTTTGCCAAAATAAGTGGTAACAGTGGGGTTATGGAGGCAATTTTGTTCATTGCACTTCACTCCCAAAACTGTTGATTTTAATTTTTATTATTAGCCAGCAAAGAACATGTACTTCTTAAGCTAGCAACTCAGAAGTTTATCTCGGAGGGAGTTTATGTCAGCAGTTTCTTAACAAGTTTTTCAATGCTGTTTAGCATCTCATAGTATGATGTTATTAAAATACACTAAGACAAATTTGTCTTACCCTGTGTCTAAATGTTTGTATTAACTTTGCCGTTGGTTAACGTACTGAATGCCTTAAGAATTCAACTGTATTCTCTGTGCTACTGTATTATAACATACCTTTTTTATTGTTAAGCCCTTCCCCCTCAACGAATAACTTAGTTAGCACTCATAGGTATAGGACCCATCATTTTTTACCTTCAATTGCTAAAATTTTTTTTTGAGAGCCCA